TTTCTAGTGAGAACATCCATGACTAAGGAAAAAAGATATGGACTTAATGCTGATCTTTGATATAATCCAACCGAAACAAGAAAATACTTGGTCAAACCACCATGTGTTTGAACACAAATAATAGCTCCTTCCTCCTGCATATATATCTTTAATGATTTGAATATAAGCGTTATTAACTCCTTTCTTTTCAAGAACTCTCCATAGCACTTCTCTTGGAATTTTATCATATGTTTTCTCTAAATCAATAAATATCATATGCATATCCTCCTTATTCTCTCTATATTTCTCCATCAAACCTCTCAATATATGTATGGCTTCCATAGTAGACCTACCCGGCATGAATCCAAATTCATTTTGAGAAACATTAGTATTACACCGCAACCTACGCTCTATAGCACGCTCCCATAGTTTTAAAGTATGACACATTAACTTAATTCCTCAATAATTCGCACACTGTTGTGCATCATCATTATTCTTAAAAATAAAAATTAACACACTCATTATCCACTGATCTTACATTTTTTTAGTCTACAAAACAATATTATAATATTTAGTAACTCAAGAAATTCCTTCATCTCCTAAGCATTTCCACATCTCTATTGGAATATCATCAAGTCCAACAGCTTTTCCACACTTCATTTTTTAAAAGTCTCTCTAACTTTGGTTTTACTAACACGCCGATAAAAACAATTTTTTTTTTTACATTTAGAGTGCTAAAGTCACTAAAGCCAATTGTATTTTCACATCATCATTAAAAAGTTTAGCAAAATATCTCATCTACCTTTGTTGAATATCATCTTCTAAAAAAAACATTTTTGATCTTCATCCCTAATACACTTCACTTGAACTAAATCCTTACTACTCCTATCTTTTTGTTAGACTAACTTATACATATATCTTTCTCCCTAATTAGTATATAATTTATTATATAAATCATTAAAAGCTAAGCTCTTTGCATCACAAATAGTTTTCTTAGATTATTTACGAGACTCTTTATAGCTTTCCAAATTATAATAATTTTTACATCTAAACTAATTTTTATAACAAATCTTCTTCTTTTTTATCTTTTCTTGCACATTTGAATTCCACCACCAACTATTTTTTACTATTAGGAGCTTTTCTCTTCAAAACTCCAAGCACATCTTTTACAATATTCTTAATATCACTAGCCACTTTTTCCACATAATATTAACATTCTTATGCACAGACAAAATCTTAAGATCTAAAATCTTACTCTCAAAAATAGTTTTGTTAATATTCTTTAAATGCCCTTATCTAATCCTAGAAAATCGTTTTACTTTATTTTTTATTTTCTGCCCCTTTATCTTAAAATTCAAAATTAATAATCGATGTTAGGTACATAAATTTTCACTCGAAATAACTTCACAATCTTTGCAATCTAAGCGGTCTAATTTTCTTATAAGAAAATAATCAATCTGCGTTTTACAATATACATTTTTATAAGTGATAATATGCTCATCTCTTTTCTTAAATAAGGTATTAGCTATTAAAAAATCATAAGCTAAAGAAAAAATCTAATATGATCTTACCACCTTCATTTGTCGTACCAAACTTATAGTCATCATGAATATTTTTAAAATCATCTACCTCTCTACCAACATGTCTATTTAAATCTACTCCAAAAAAACTCTTTCTTCAAGAGGTATCTTTTGTATTAATTCTTCCAAGTCATTCTAAAATTTTAATTTTGAACCCTTATCCAAACCTACTAGAGGAGCATAAACACTTATAATATTAACAATCTTAGCATTAACAACAATCTTTAAAGGAGCCGGCGGCATCGAGATCTCCATCAAAGGATGGAGCATCGACCTTAATATTCTTCATCAATGGTATGTTAGGATTGTGAGGATGTCCATACTGGGGAGCTTGATGAGGAGCACGAGGAGATCCCTCATCTTGGTAGGTATCATCCCCGTATATGGATGGACGTCTAGAAGGTGTGTAAAGGGGAGGGTGGTTCCTGCTTCGATCTAGGGTATCGAAGCGTTCAGTCGTCTGACGATAGAGGTCAGCTAAGTCAGCCTGGTTTTCCTTGAGTTGTTAATTTTTATAACATTATCCTTTAAACTCCTATCTATAATCACATTTAAATCATTTCTAATACTACTACTATCTAAATACCATAGTTTATATCCTAAAATATCAATCTCCTAAGTCTTCTCTTCAACCCATTTAGTTTCCTGAATGCACATAATATTTATCTTCCTATTTATTATAATCTATATTAATTCCATTAATTTTCCTGTAAGGGAGTCTATATTCCAAGTTCTTATCCTAAATTTAGTTTCATGGACTAGCTTCTTTGCCCACATCCATCCTTAATGTGGGAACCCTTACCTATTTAACACTACACCTGGACGCCGGTGCAGCAGCCCTTGCACACTTGTCGTTGTATTCAGGCCATAAAGCGCGTCGCTTCTAGGGGACGCCCTAACATTAACACTATTTTTTAAAAGATTCATGTCATGATTATTCGACAAGTTTTACTCTGGCTATAGACTACCTAATGTAACCCTCCACTTTTCTCATCTAGGACTTGGGACCTAGCAACGGCAGTGTTTTAGTATACGATTTAAGAAAGAAGAAAATTTGACGGAGAATGAGGAAAAGTTTGGATTTGAAAAATTCCTTCATAAGAAAGTGTTAGTAAAATTTTCTGCTCAAACTGGGAAAGGAAAATTTTATAATTCTCCTAATTGAAGAAACATTATTATTATAGGAATAATCCAATTATAGTAAGCTTAAATCCGATGGTAAAAAAAGTCAATTTGTAGTAAAGAAAAGATTTGTTGAAAGAAGGGAAAATTCCTAGCAAAAATTATTTAATTGACAAGAGTTTAATCACATATTTTGTTAGAAGATAATGGTAGAAAGTGAAATTGAGATTGTGGAAGATTTTATGCCCTCTAATATTACGTAATGTGGATTAATTAGTCAAAAGCCCTCTTTGGAAATGGTTAAAGTATTATTTTGAACAATGAATGTTTTTCATGCTAAGACAAATATTGGAGGTACATTTCATAAAATCAAATTTTGGAAGAAGAATAAAGTGGATAATTACAATTGCGTATAGCAAATTCAGTATTGTATTTCCATTTCAATTCTGATTTATATAATTGATTTACTTATTTTTGTAGGTTGTTATGAGTAAGGCAATATAAATTCAAATGCATATATGATGATTAAAATTTGACATATAAATTATTATGACTGAAGAAATATACATTAATTATCATGAGAGCATGAAGGTATATGAATATGTGAAAGAGATACATATCGATTTAAACCACATGTAAAGGAAAAGAAAGTGAAGTTGGAAAGTGTATATATATATATATACATATGCTATTTATATGCACATAAGAATACAAGTAAAGAATGTTGAAAGAAATGAAATAATTTATAAATTATAAATAAAAGCATAAATGAATAAATCATCAAAAAAGAAAAAGAATATGCAAGCAAATTATAGGAGTTCACCCCGTATGATACTGGTTGTGGAAGCAATGTATCTGTGCATGTTAAATGAAAATGTTTGTACCTTTATTGGTACATTTAGATGGTATTTCTGTACCAATTGAAATGGAAAATGAATAAATGTTAAATGTTATAAAATATATATGATATGAAATGTATAAAGAAATAAATAAATGAAATAGAAAAATGATATGAAATGTATATATATACCTAATACGTATACTAAATGTTGTAAGAATATATATATACCAAGCGTTATATAAGTTATAATATTGTATAGAAATGAGAAAAAAAAAAACATGCATTGCATCTTATATATGTTTAAAGGTTATTTTAGCAATGATAATTATCTAGTGCATTTACCATGTAAACTCAACACATTAAATAAAAATTTTCAGGTAAGTTTGCAGAGAAGTAGATTGAAGGAGAGCAGTATGATAACAAAAGATGACGCGCAAATGAAAACGGGAAATAATTAATTTATGCAGGTGTAAAAATGATGTATTAGTAGTTTGATGAAAATTGTATTAGTGGCTCTTCGGTTTTTATTTGAAATGTAGATGATAAATAGTTTTAGAATTTAAAAGAAATATTATAACAAACATATTGTTTGTATCTGCTTTGTTAGTTCGAGTATTCGGCCAGATCGTGACAGATATATAGCATGCGGTTACAACAATTTAAAAGCAAAGAAACAGTGACAATTAAAAGCACTAATAGCATCGTGCATTTATGCCAATGAATTTAACTTTTGAAAGAAAGTATGAGAACTTATGTAACATCCCACAATACCCCTTAACAGTACTAGAGAGTATTACTAGCATAAACATAATTTTTTCCATCATTCAACATATGATAATTTTCAACAATCTGAATAATTTTATAAAACATCCAATAATTTCATTCATCACATCAACGGAAGCATCTAATAACTTAAACTTCAACAAAAAAATACTTACAAAGACACTAAGTAAATACAAATAAAATCAGAAAATAAAAAAGAGGTAAACCATAAAGACGCATAAGTTGGCGTTCATTGATTTTTTTGTTCTATTATTGAAGTAATGCACATTAGCCCTTTCAAGACAATATTTCTTTTTTTCAATCCTTATTTATTTTGTCTTTTCTCCCTCAATCTAGTTACTTCATGTTAGCATCATACTATTGAAAAACTACATCTGATTATTACTGTGAATCGTTGAATTACTTCGAACGGTTATTTATCAAAAGCAGATGATTTTGGAAAATAGCACGCGTTTATTACCAGATACTTTCATACAATAGCTAGATTAAAGAAAGGAGGTGATAAGATAGCGTGAAGAGTTTGGAAAAATCAAATGCAGCTAGGGTTCATAGCAAACATATGAGGACAAAAAAAGATTTATGTTGTATCAAATATAATTAATTGATAAATTTTGAATGTGAAAAAATATAGAACAAAAAATACTATAAATAGCATAAGTAAAAAAAATGAAGATGAACTCAGGAATTTTAGGCAAATCCAACCAAGAGAAAAGTGCAAGTTATAAATCATGCTGTAACCAGAGAATTGTTAATCACAAAATACATGCTATAAATCAATATAGTTCCTAGAAATGTGCATGAGAATCTTAAAAAAAATGCACAAAAACATATAAGAAAAGCATAACCGGGATTTGCTACCTTGAGCAATGGAGTGTGGATTAGAACAATATAAACAAAATATTTGAAAAGAAAAGAATGAACAAATTGGTTGAAGCAAATGGACTAAAATCCAACTAGACATTCGCCATTTAATCTATTGGGCACATCATACCAACAACAAAAAGAATTATAGATGAATGAAACAGTATTCCACATTGCATCATGCTAAAGGTGACCGATTGAGCCAACATCTAAGCAAACATACTGGTAAGGCACTCCAAAGTTCCTGTCGTTTTAAAATACACCACCCATGAATTTGCAAATACTTACGGTGGCTCGTTAAATGGCTAAATCTCCTGAGGCAATAAGTTACTTGGTCTTTGATAAGTAGGTTGATCAATTTAAATCAATTTCATGCACATACGAAATCATTAAAGAAATTGACTTTAAAATAATTGACAAAGGTTTAAAAGGAAAATCAGAGTATATTTGAAAGCAGCATGCATGACTTAGAAACTTCATTTACTTAAACCAAAGATTTTATAGCTGCAAAGTAACTTATCTACAAAAAAAGGTTTCAATAACTATAAAAAAGTTCCAAAAAAAATCAATGTCACTATGACAGAACTAGGAAAGAAATGTTACCCTTAGCCTAAGTAAGATCTCAACAATAGATGACAGCCTACTTGTTGCCTGAGTATCCAGAAGGCATCTGCGCTCCTGAACTGAGAGATCGGAGAGTCTCAAACCCAGTTTACATTTTTTTTCCAGATTATTAATAACTAATCTAGATCCACCCACCTGTAAAAATAATTCAAGTGGCATTTCTTTTATGGCTGCATCAAGAGAAAATAATTGGCAATCTTTTGCAGGATTTGCCACATTAACACCATCCTTTCTCAAAAAGCACAAAGCATTTTGCCAATATGGTGAACTACTCATGTAAGACCACAAAAATTTGTGCAAAAGCTTCACTCGGACCATCTTTGCAATAACAAAGCCATTCTCACTCATTGCCTTTGAAGCTGGTGAACCATCAGCATGAATGGAAGCTCTCCTCGCATTTTGTAGTTCTGGCAGCTCCACCACAGATTGTTCATGTTTCATCCTAGCAGATCGAGGAAAACGGCGACTTTGAATGTCAAAAGATCTCTGCCTTTCATAAATTTGTTGCACAAGTTCTTGAGATGGATTCACAGAAGGGTGCAAAATAGCTTCTGTATAGCGCAAACTATTGAAATTTGTTAATGAAGGCATGTGGACACCAATGCATCTGCAAAATCCCAAGTCCTGAAGCCTTTTCAAAGAGCGCTCTAGCGTTTTCCTGTCCATTGTCGTTGGCTTATCCTTCTCAATATCACCAAGCCATTTATGCAACTCAACTTTTAGAAGGAACTTCTCATTCTGCAGCAGAGATGACAAGGAGTTTTTAAAAACAAAATATGTTTTTATTTATATATTTAGTATATAAATAGAAATGAAAAGGGATTACAGAAAGTAAAAAAGTCTATAAGATATTTCTCAACCCACATAAAAGAGATGTAGATTTTTAAAAAAACAATCACACACTCTTTTCCTTTCTCAAAAACTTTCAAAGAAGAAAATATGTTGGGTGGGAATAATAACAAGCGATGGAAAACTAGGAATTTCTAATCTGGCAGCACCATTCGCCTATTATTTGATTGGTAAATTTTACTTTTGAGCTACCGAGCTTCTGACAATTCATACATTCATGTCCGATCTTCACTTTTTAGGTGATTTCACTATTAGACTTCTAGATCAACTTCAAGTGCTTATCAAACTATATATGGAAGCAAATTATTCTAGAATTTTCTCTTGGGGGTTATATTATATGAAAGGTCTATAATTGTTAGCATTGAAGCGGTCACCATACTAAAGAAAATTCTCAGGAGCCCACTTGTGGCCAAAGAAAATTCTTAGGAGCCCATTATTACACGCGTGTGGGATGTTTCTCCCATCTTTGAATCCATTACATCGTTCAATCTATATCTTACTCTTTAGATGCAAAATTTGGCAAATCAACACAAGTAGATGTTGCTGCTGTTACACCCTATTAGACCATATGTGACACACGTTCTTGTTGAGATAGGCATTTTTGCTCCTTTGGCTCAAGAGGTTTGGATTGGGTACTACCTCAAATGGCTATTGGCAAAAAGTGAATTTAGAAGGTTTGTTGGATGATAGTATCCCCTCTGTTCCTTCATCTCCGATATCATCTTACTTTAGATGTTAGATCTTATAATGCCACTAAAGCAATGCCTAGATTAGATGTACGTCAACGTAATAAAGGTCTTGCATTTACTATACTATTTTTTCTCCTTGTGATATTATACCTTTGTTCACCAATGATACTTGATTGGCTGAGTGCTGAATGTACATAATTCAAGCTCAATCCAATCTCAATATTTTATCAAAAGCTTATCTGAATTAATGGATAAAGGGTCTCAACTAGTTTTTTTCTGGTCAAGAAAATACTAAAAAGAAAGTATTTATCCATTCTTCCACATTTACTAGAACCCACGCTAGGGTAATAACTCCCTTTGATAATTTTAGCATTGTAAACTTAACAGGTATCTGGATGTTTGCTAACTTCCCTCCAGATGAATAGATAACATTCACAACACTTTATATTATCCGGATCTTATGTATTTTGCTATTCTTTTTATGATGGCAATAAAATGCATATGCTAGTTCATGGAATATTTTCAATGGCAAGTTACAAATTTCATTGTTTAAGAAAATGGACAAAGATTCATAAACATGGCAACAAATATACGAGATAAGGCTACTGATGATAATGTTGATGAAAACCCAAGTAAATTTGTTTCTATATTTTTATATATAGCTCTAAGATTTATTTTGCCTAATCCAAATGCACCTTTTTCCGCATACTCCTCCAAGCTTCATGGTTCTTCAAACCTTAGCTGTAAAAATACAACGCGTGAAAGTTTCTTGTATTTTCTAGTACTTCAAGGAACAAAAACATGAGAAATCTGTAGAAGGTAATAATTGCATAATACAATTGCTTATTTTCCACTTCTTTTAACATTCAAATCAGAACAAACTTGCGCACAAACAATGAAGCACTTGATAACTTGTACAGTTAATGGATTTATTCCAATAGGGAACAAGGAAAACAACATTTATGTGATTTGTTCAATAGACATAAGAAATCCTAGAAGTAACTCTTAAATTACTATTACTTAAGAAACAATAAATGTATAATGAATAAGGTTTCAACTATCAATGTTTAAGCATATATTAACCATGTAGGATATTTGATATTGGTCAACAGTTGCATTAGAAATCCTGAGCCAATATCTAAAACAAAATGTACTTTAAAGACAATAAGTGTGCATTATAGAGTTTCATATTTCATATAAGCATTTTCAAAAGAGATTTTATAGAATTTACCTTATTTAATATTTAACCTTAGCTAAATCAACAAAGTTCGATGACAATAAAATTCTAACATGACCATGACATCATATTGCAATTGATGCCAAACAAGTGAAAAGAAAAATGGTTTGAACACAATATAAGTGGAGTGGCCGTTAATGTACCTTCAATTTTTCAAGTATCCTTTGTTCCCTCTGTGCAGCGGAAAAGGTTGATGCTCTGCAGGCATACTTCTGAGTTTGGAGAATTGGTATAGATGACACTGGCATAGAATGAAGTGATGTGGATTCGGAGACATGTGATTCTAGAGCACTGCAGGCCTCATCAAAAATTACATCACTATCCATAAAATTATCTTCATGTGCTCGATTGACGGGTTGCTGTTCACTTTCAATTAATTCAGAAGAAGGGCCACCGAAGGAGCTATGAGTTTTCAATTCTTGCCCACTATCTGGTTTTTCCATAACCAAAATTTCACCCTTTGAATTAGAGCCAAATGGCCTCTGATATTGAATTGAATCACCCGAATGAGTTGAAAGTTCATTTTGATCAAGAAGCAAATTTTGGTTATCTGATAAGCATTTATTAGGATCATTGTGGTGCAAGCTGTGTGTCCAAAACCTATATACTTGTTGTTTATTTTGAATTTCAGACTGTGAGACCACTCCAAACTTTTCACGCATGGAAAAAACTCGTTTATGCAATTTCTTAGAACTTATTCCAAGTCGCTTGGATAACTGCATTTAGAAAAGAATTAATAAGTGCAAAAAAAAGGAATATGAACAAATGCAGTAGATATATCTCTTCAACAAGCTTAAATACCTAACAAAAGTAAGGTCAACAGTGAATAAGGACAATGTTACTTTAAAATACGACTACATAAGCTTGAAATCAAACATAATCTACAAATGCTACAATGTGTACGAGATGATCTTGAAAAAAAAAGACAAACTGGAGAAAACTCTTATACAAAAGATGATAAACTTAATGTAAATCCCCAAATAATATCTTAAATTATAATACTAAAAATTTTTCCAAAAAAAAAAACCTTAAATTTTCCCCAAAACCATACCCCATTTTTTTGCACCTAACTAAATTCAAAGAAATCATTTTTATTTCAACATACACTTCATTTAGACCATTTTGATATATAGGTGCATATAGAAATAACCAACATAAATCAATATATGTATATAATTACATTTCCCAAAAAAATTTATTTTAAGTTTACTTTTCATTTTTTATAATCTACTGTAGCCTTTTTAAAATCCTACTTATAATAATTTTAAATAAAAAAAGAAATTAAGGCGATGGAATATATATATATAGGGTATTGTAGGAGAGGCACTGTAAGGACCTTACTATAATGAATTTACTGTGGAGGTACCATAACAGCGAAAAAAAAAATAGAGAAAGTAATAGGAAAGTAGAAAAGAAAATGGAAAGGAAAGTAAAAAAGCAGAATAAATAAATTAGGTACGAAAGTTTTATCATATTCTATTTCTGTTGTAGGAATAAAAAACTTGAACGAGATGAAATTTAATTGAGGTAAAATCTTGTTTTTGAGATTTTGTTGTAAATTGAATTTATAAATTAGGAATTGTTTATAATTTGTGAAAATCATGATTTATTTAGGTTGTTAATAAAAGAAAAAGAAGCCAAGTTATCATAAGGGATCACATCTATCCTGCTAACCTAGAAAACAAGGTGAGATACTCGATCTCTATTGGAGGAAGCAACAAATTTTTAAATCTAAATTTTATAGCATTTCTTCATATTAATCATAAGATGAAAATTTCAGGAAACATTAAAAGTTCCAGGTTTATAATCATCATAAAGAATTTATTTAATATGTATAATGTTTTGGGTTTTTTATTATTGTGAGTTGTTAGATGATATCTTTGATGACTGCTATGATAGTTTGGTTATTATTGAGAAAAGTTATATAATGGGAGATAGGTCATTAAGTGATATTCTGTGCGGTTAAAGGAGAAAGACCTAACGAGGTAAGCCTTAATAGGGACTGTACAGGAGGTGTCCGACTCTCTCTTCTAAAAAGTTGAAATTTTTATATCGACCTTGAAGGGAGGGACCATAAATAAATGATTAGCCGACAGGCTATATGACAACTTATTATGAACGTGTTAAAGCTTATAGTCATCATATCACTTTTCAAAAATAATGTATATGCATATGATATGAGGATTGAGAAAAATCTAAAAGATTTTATAAAGTAAATTGTATAGTATTATGCATTAATTAATTACTAAAACGAGATATAGCTTATTCTTTTTTTTTTTCTAATTATATGTGTTGTGATTCTTGTGTTAGTTCAAAATATCAACTTGCATATTGATTGTTTCTTGTTTTTGAACATATATTACCATAGAATTGTGTATTTCATTGAGCATTTAGCTCACTAGTTTATGTATTGCAGGAAAGGGAAATAAGTCATCAAGGTTTAGGCAAGTGATCAATTGCCCTGTGTACATAATCATTTTGTGCGCACAGTTTAGGCTGTAGATAGAAACTAATCAATAAGCTGGAAATTAAAGCTTTTTAGATATGTAAAATTTTATTTGAAATTTTTAGTAAAGCTCTGTATTTTATTTTGATATATAGTGTGCATACTTCCGAACATTTAATAATGAGATATAATTTCTATGGTTGGAGAAATTGTTTTGGGATAGTTTGGATAGATAAATTTCCTACTCATTCGATCTTGATGAATTAGTTCTATATGGGTGTTAGTGAGAAAGGAATATGTCTGAATTTTTTCATCTCTGTTGCACCTCAAGTTGACTAAGGGGGGTCAAAAAGAGATGTGACAAAGAACAAGGTCAAAGAGTTAAGAAATTGAAAACTGATCCAAAGCATGGCATTGCTGAACGGTAGATTGCTAAGTGCCAATCCAGCCGGCCGGTCCAGCAAGAGCCGAACCAAGCTCTGGACAGGGCGGATCTATCCAGGGGAGTTTCGGCCCCCCTTGTGGGGCCAGCAAAGTTGTTATTCAATATGTAAGGAGAAGGAATGAGGAGGAAATTATGGAATGAAAGAATTCAAATTTTGAATTGACATAGGAGAGGGAATTAATTAAGGAGAAAGGGTTGTTTGGGAGTGAATTTTGGAGAGCTTAATTAGGGCTAGTTATGTTGCTATTGGGATTGTGTGATTGGTGTTATTGTTATAGTTCTTTTCTTTGAAGCCTTCCTAGCGGCATCTAGGTTATTTGAGAGAGTCAATTTACCTCTTTAATCGTAGATCACTTGTATCTTGTTTTTGTATTGAATGGATAATACAAAATCAGCCATTGTTTCTAGTATTCTTGTAGTTTTCTAATGTTTCTTTAGTTATTTTTACTTTTAAGGCATATCAGACGGTCTCTATTCTTAATCATGCTTGGATTTTCGAAATCCTCATTTCTAAGTGACCTACATTTATTGATTGCTGCATCATTAAGAACAAAAGTGTGGATGACCTGCTGCTGTCGAAAGGTACTTGCTAAGTGATACTGAAATAATGCTTTGGAGATTCACCAATTCAAACCATACATTCCATTCAGATTAACCCTGATCTCCAACAAGATCAAATTTAGTCGAAGTTTTCAAACCTTAGTAAAACTATCACCGCCCAGGCATATGAATTGGCCTTTCCAAATATCGAAAACGCATCCAGGTGGATTCAATACATCCACTTGCATCCACGTGAATGGTTCTTCTAGTGGTGTTTCTGTTGTAATGCTATCCCAAACAATGCTTATCTTTATATGAGAGGGCTTTCAGAGGCTAAGTTCTGTCCCTGGGGATGTCAGGAAGAGGACAATATTAACCTAATGGCTTTCCATTGTAGCAGGTTATTAGAAATCTAGGACGTGTTGGGCAGCTATGGGTTCTTCGTTAGCAGCATTTCAAAGCATGCAGAACTTCGTAGGGATCTTATTACGAATCAGGTAACCTCAATTCGTATCTTTTGAATTTCTGTTTATCAGCACTGGAGGTTGCGATATGCAATGAAGCACCATAGTCCATTTGGGAGCCCTACAGTTATTGCAGTCACAATTCTTGGAAGCTTGATAAATATTCACCCAAGGCCTATTCTAGAGCAATGGGTGTTAATCAACCAAATTGGTTTCATGACTTGCATCTTTGGCATCCTCCACCTCCGAATTGGATTAAGGTGAACATTGCTGTAGCCTTATTCCCTTCTGACATGCCGGCTTGGGGTTGTTATCCGAGACTCAAATGGCAAACTGATTATGGCTTATGGTAAAAAAAAATTACAATGGATTAGTACTCAAGTAGAGATTGATGCGGTGCTTGCTATCCAGAATATCATTGAGCCTTGCATGATGGATCTTTGGGGGATCAATATTGAAGGCAATGATGCAAGTGTTATCAAACGTTTCAAGAAGTTAAAGGCTATCCAGGTTTCAGCCCTACCAACCTTCCAACATGCCAAGTTATTACCTTTTTGGATGACTTTCAGCAGGTCATCTTCTATGTCATTCCAAGACAGGACAATAAAGTGGCCGTTTTTTGTACAAAGTTTGCTCTAAATTATAATTTTTTGTAGGGATAGATAAATAGTGAACACCTACCTTCCTCCTTTTTGTTTTTCTATCAAAATGATAATTATAATGAAGTTTAATTTTAGCTACTTTATTACTTGTCATTGAAAGATGGCTTGTTGAAGTATCCCCTAAACCATGCACATGGGAGAATGATATGATAATATATAGAGCTAAAAGAGGTGACAAACATTTAGTTTTAACCAAATTAACCACAATATCATGCAATTTTTCTCTATATTTAATAATCATTATTTTCTCAATATAACTAATTTGAGACTATCCATCATAGTTCCGTTAAGCACCAATTTGCAAATTATTGGAATGTAACAAGAGAGCACCAGTGTCTAAATATTTTATTATTGATGTCCCAAATAAAATATGAAATATCAACAAATCTCGATTATCCAAACAATGACAACAAGTTCGTACTTCTACTTATTTGTACAAGAAAATTAAGATGAAGCGAGGGTATATCCAAATATTAAGCTATAAAGTGCTCCAAGATGTGTTAAGATCCTTCCATCAAATCCAGGAAGATAAGCATCAACCAAAATTCTATGATCCAGCTCAAATCACACCCAACACCAACAACAACATCAAGCCTTTATCCCACTACATGGGGTCGGCTACATGAATCCTTTTTCTCCATTGTCTCCTATTAAAAGTCAAATTCTCGTTTAAATCTAATAAAGAAATGTCATTCCTAATATTTTCTAACCAAGTCTTTTTAGGTCTACCCCTACCTTTCTTAACACAACTCAAATCTAATACCTCTACTCTCCTAACCGTCGCCCAAAGTCACAATCCCCTCACTAGGTCTATTACTAATAAAATTGCACTCCATATATTCCGTTTTAGATCTACTCAAGCGAAAACCTTTAGTCTCTAATGTTGACCTCCATAATTCAAGTTTACTTTCAACTCCCTCTCTAGTCTTATCAATAAGAAGAATATCATCAGCAAAAAGCATACACCAAGGTATATCCTCTTGCAAATGTCTAGTGAGAACATCCATGACTAAAGCAAAAAGATATGGGCTTAAGGCTGATCCTTGATGTAACCCAACTGAAATAGGGATATGCTTGGTCAATCCACCTTGTGTTTGAACACAAGTAATAGCTCTTGCATACATATCTTTAATGATTTGAATATAAGCATTATTGACTC